GGAAGGCGGCCACCTGGAGGCTCAGTGCTGGCCATCTCCGCGGCGGGCAGCAGTGCCCGCTGCTGCTGGAGGCCCCGCGGGGCTGTCACCAGCCCCTTCCAGGTGGCTTCCTCGGGCAGGCGGACCCCTCGGCGCAGTGGCTGCTGCCAGAGCAGGCATCCCGAGGAGCAGAAGCGGCCGGGCCCTTCCCCACTTCGCCCGGGAGCCGCACCGGACATTTCTGCCGCACTTCATTGGTCAAAGCGGTCACCAACCCGCCCGGGTTTAGGGGTTTAGGAAAAGGGCGGGACTGCTGGTTTTTTTTTTTTTAAATATATATATATATTATTGATTTTTTACAGAGAGGAAGAGAGAGGGATAGAGAGTTAGAAACACCCATGAGAGAGAAACATCGATCAGCTGCTTCCTGCACATCCCCTACTGGGGATGTGCCCGCAACCAAGGTACATGCCCTTGACCAGAATCGAACCTGGGGCCTTTCAGTCCGTAGGCCCACGCTCTATCCACTGAGCCAAACTGTCTAGGGCTGGACTGCTGTTCTTGATGGCAGGATGCTAAAGAATGCTGGGTGAAGCTTAGAAAGTGCTACAGGCCCATAAGAATGCTCTTCTATTTCGCAGGATCTTGGAAATAAATCTCTTGATAATTTACATCAGTTGATCAGCTTTTCTATGAGATAAGAGGCTTCCTGAATAATCTGCTGAATGCGGCTGACGTGAATGTACTTAGTCTCTGGGCTTTTCAAGTGAAGGACATGGTTAGCTGCCGGAAGCCGGTCCATCCTTGCTGCTTCAAGGGACCTGGCATATATGGCATACTGTTCTTAATATGTTTGCTCACCTTCTTGGCACTATGTGTTTTAACCAAGGTCTCTGAGAAAGGTTGTTTCCCCAGGTAGGGATTTTCCCCTGAAGTTAGGGAGGGAATAAAACCTCTTAACTAGTGCCAGGCGGGTAATTAATCACTTTAACTACGAACAATCATGCTTAAGCTACATAATCTTTACTCCCTGGAATGGAGATAAGAAACGCCCTAACCTTTGAAATAGAGATTGATAGGATTGGAATCAACTGGTATAAATACAGATGTAAGAAGACAGAACAGACAGAACTAGAGACAGAAGAACTTCACTGGAGAGAACATGGCAAAAGATCCTGGACTGAACCTGACTACAGAAATGGGCAAGAGAACCTGACTAGAACCTGGTGACTGAACCTGGCTGGAGAACCTGGACTGAACCTGGCTGGAGAACCTAGCAAGAGAACATGGACACAGAACCTGGCTGGAGATCTGAAGCAGAACTTCGCTGGAGATCCAGACCAGAACTTGGCTGGAGATCCTGGCTGGAGATCCTGCCTAGGCTGCTGATCCACTGAACGCTGTCTCCGTGTCATTCCTTCTTCGCCGACTCCGTCCACACCTTTGGGGACCCCTGGACCCGCTGGGGTTGGACCCCGGCAGTTAGCCTCGGATCTGAGCTCCCCACCGCACTGCCGACGGGAGTCAGGTTCGCTGCGTGACTCCTCGTGCGGGGACCAGGCAGGGAGCCCTGAGCGCGCAGGTGACCAGACTGGTTTCCAGACTGACCGGGGGTTCAGACACAGGCTCTGCTCCTGGGAACCTGGCAGCTCCCCGCCGCCGGGGACAACAATGCCACACAGCGTGCGGGGGAGACACCGACCCGCCAGCCGTGCCCGGAGCGAGCTGTGACGGAGGGAAATTCTCCAGAATTCATCTCAGGTAAGAGGCAGAGTACCTGGATCTGAGCTGCGGGACGCCACCGGCTGGGAGCGAGCGTGCTTCCTCCTCGGGTCTAATTTCAGCGATTATTCCTTCCAGCCGTGGGCCACCGCCATCCGACCGATTTCAGTTCCTGGGGATTAAACAGTTTCTGAAGGTTGTTATCACTCCCCTTCAGTGGAGCATATCTGCGAACACCTTCCTGGGTAATTACCGTGGCCTAGTGATTGGGCTGTCACTACAGAGTGATTTTAAACCACACACACACACACACACACACACACACACACACACACACCCCTCCAGTGTGTTCCTCCGTGTTCGTGTTGTCTTTCCATTTTCAAAGCCCAGTGGTTTGAGAGAGACAGTAGAAGGACAAAATAAGAAGACATATGGTAGCGCTTAAATTATTCCCTGAAAGGGAAAGTGTCCAATATGAAATTATTCAGTCTTTCTACTATTCTGGGATGGGGAGGGAGGCATTTCAACCAAGAAAATCATAGTATACCCACAATGCCCAGAGGAGAAGTGAATTATATTATCAACTTCCAAATACAGTCAGCAATATTTCACCAGAAAAGCTGCTTTGCAAAAATTAAACCTTTAATGTTTACACTGGGAAATACTTCCAGTCCTTCTCTGCCATCTTCTCCAGCCCCCTGCACACATGTGCGTGCACACATTTACACACACACACACACACACACACACACACACAATCTTTTTCTTTCCAGGATCCTCTTTGTTTTGTTCACCTCTATTATCCTAACATGTACACAGAGGTGCCCAAAATGTTTCCAAAAGGAAAAATTACACAAAGTCAAATTTTTTCTCTTGTTTTTCAAAATTTTCTAACCCATAGACTCAACGAATGTAAGCAATGGAAAATGGCAGCCAGAGGAAATCATTGATACAATTTCTTGTGCTCTTTTTTCATCTAAATTGATAAGAAGAGGAGGGAGGTGGGGGTTGAGTTTCAGTTTCCTGTTATTTTTACTCACTTTATGCAATTTCAACCCATTGGACCCAGTTTTAGGCATGTTATATAAAGCTTTTATGAAAAGACCAGAGGCCTAATGCACAAAATTCGCGCAAGGGGCTCGGCCCTCGCAGCCCTGGCTTTGTCCAGAAGGTCGTTCAGCTGTCTGGTCTAATTAGCATATTATGCTTTTATTATTATAGGTAAACTTCGAGTAATATTCTTTAATTTTAAAAATCAGTGATACATTCACATGGTCCAATATGAAAACAATACAAAAATGTGAGGCCCGGTGCACGAATTTGTGCATGGATGGGTTCCGGCCAGCCTGCCCCAATTGGGCCAATTGGGCTTGGCTGACCTAAGGGAGGGCCGCAGGCAGTTGGCTGGCCAGACCTGCCCCCTGGTTGAACTCCTGGTTGAACTCCCGGTCGAACTCCTGATCCAGGGGACAATTTGCATGTTAGCCTTTTATTATATACTAGTGGCCCAATGCACGAAATTAGTGCATGGGTAGGGTCCCTAGTCCTGGCCAGCGATCAGGGCCGATCTGTGGGGCAGCCAGCGGGGCTATCGGGGGGTTGGCCCCCCTGGTACCCGCCTTGGCCAGCCTGGTGCCACCTGCTTGCCAGCCCCTCCCCCTGCTGCTGCCGCCGCTGGTCATCTCCCTCAGCGGGGTGATCGGGAGGGGGTGGGGCCCGCTGGTACCTGCCTTGTCTGGCCTGGGGCCTGCAGGCTGGGGCAGCTCCTGTGTTGAGCATCTGCCCCATGGTGGTCAGTGCCTGTCATAGCAACCGGTTGTTCTGCCTTTCGGTCAATTTGCATATTAGGCTTTTATTATATAAGATGATGATATATATTGAGAGGACTGTCCCAATCTACTCCGGTCCCTCTCTCCTCTTCCCTCTTTCCTTATAGGTAAACGTACTGTTAGTTCCTTGCGTATATTCTCAGTGTTTATGCCAATTGAAGCAAACACAAGCATCCACATTTTCCTCCCGCATTTGAGAGAAGAAACTGGCCTTGTTTGTGCCAGTGGTGGCACCACATGAGTAGAGAAAGCATAGTGGAGTATCAGAAGCTTAGAAGAATGGTAATTAGTTATTTAGATTGCCGGAATTGCATTATTTGACATTAGTTTTTTGGTTAAAGCTATTCTTTGGGCCTTTTAATTCTTTAAACACCCAAAATTCTTGTCCGCACAAGCAAAGTTTCAAATAATTCATATAGCTCATCTCTCTTGCTTAACAACAAAATATGCATATGCCACATCCGTAAGAAAAGAACAACATTGAGTGGAACACAGGATGCCCTTAAGAAGGGCTCACCCACCCAGAGTTCTGAACATGGTCATCCAGTGGGATGGTGGCTATAGCCGAGGAAAGAGCTTTAATTCCAACCCAGAAGCTTTTCTTCATCTTACCTGCACCCATACACAGAGCAAACAAGGACCTTAGAAACATCTTACACTGCTGACACTTAGGCATCTACAAAAGAATAACTTTGTAGACTTTAGAAACAACTACAGGAATGTGTATGTAACCGTATAATTGATAGTGGGCATTGTCAGGGACTGTGTCAGACCCCAAGAACAATTAAATAATTTCAAACTCATATTTTGGAAATGAACAGGCAACAATGACAACAACCTGTCTTTCAAACAAGTTGAAACACAATATTGATGCAATCTGTTGTATTATATGCCAGATGAGTAAAAGATAAATTCTGAATGACATAGAATTATCGCATAGGCGCACATTATAACCATTACTTTAAGGGTTAATGGTCGATGTTTTCTAAAGTTATATGATAGGCAGTATGTAGAAATCCAATAAAATTTGATTAAATATTTAAAGAAATCCTTAAGAGAAAACATTTACCTTGATTTTTTTTATTTTTTAACTAGCTTTTTTTATTGAAAGCAAACTACGCGAATGTTGTCAGATATTTGAACAGTGCAAAAAGTGTCCAGTGACATGAATCTCCTTCCCAGCTTGCCAGCCCAGTGCTGCAGAAACAACCAGCATTCCACTTTCTCATGGTTCCTACAGAAAGAGCCTGCGTGTTGTAGTATGTTAATATCTCTATTTAAAAACACAAACCAGAGCACACTGTAAACCTGTCCTTGCCTTGGCCTTCCTCAGTCTGCAGCTCACAGGTGCACCCTGCTGCCGAATACCCCACTGGAAGGAAGGACCTTGGGCCGCTCAGCGGGCCCTCACTGTGGATGACTCCCCTAGGCAGTGAGTGAGAGTCCTTTGTAGAGTAAAACGAAATCACCTCCTGGTAACCTCTTTTTATAAACATATTTTATAAACACATCCCAAGTGTTGCCCGACTCCCCCTTTCTGGCATCTAAAAATTCACTGGTCCCCTTCTCGGCGGTCATACCCTCTGCCGCCGAAATCCATTCCTTCGTAAACCTGGCCCGCTTTCCAGTTGTTTCAGGCAGGAGACCTCTGATCCCTGCTACTCCATCTGGGCCAGAAGCAGAAGTGTCATATTTTTTAAACACAGAAGTGCTTCCTAAACTTGGATGTATACAGTCGTCTGAGCAGCTCATTAAAATAAAGATTCCTGGACTCCCACCCAGAAGCTCTGGCTCAGAGGGCTGCCTGGGAATCTGTATTTTAACCAGCACTTGGAACAATGTTGATGCAGCCTTGCCATGGCCCCGGCTGTTTGGGAGCCGCAGGCTTCAAGGGTGGTATTTACTTGTCAGCTGTCCTCAAGTGATGCCACCATGTGGATGTTTTGTTTTTCAGATGAACGAAATAACATAAATGGTGAGATCGATTCCTTGCCAGACTTTGAATTATTGAGTTTGTGGAAACACAGGGCCACCTCTGAAGAGCATCAGCAGAGGCCAGAGTTCTGTTCTCAGAGACAGCTCTGCCCAGCATGTGACCCAGCAGACCCAGTGAGCTGAAGGCCGGTGGGACATCGAGTTGGAAGGGGCACATCTACTTGTCTGCACAGAGAGGGCGCGAATGGCAGCAGCTTCAGCTTGGTTCAACTCATTTTAGAAAGTATTTCTGGCTTGTGTGGTTTTATGCTTTTAGAGTTCCATTTTTAAGCACGGGGCTTGTCCAAACCCACTGACGCTGAGCTGAAGCATCCAAAGGAGATGCTGAGTTTCACACCAATCTCTGCTGAGTCTGCAAAAAATTTCTCAGACTTGCCCAAACTGCTTTGTTGAGAAACAAAAACAAAAACCACCAATCCCAGCGGGGTTTGTAGGGTCCTGTGGTTTTCGTCCAAAACTATGGCAAAGCAGTGATCGGTCATGTGACTTACAAGCCTAAAGGTTTCATTATGAAACCTGAAAGAAACCCACAGGCTTCGGTCTTAAAATATACTCCCATGAGACAAACAAAAAAAGAAACAGAAAATCTTCTCAGTTTGGGCCTAGAAGCACAGTGGAAGAAAATACGTCCAAACCAAATGTTGTCAGGGCTCACTACGTTTTAAATCCAGAGCTGAACTTCACTCCGTTGAGGTCACACTGTTCATTAACACTGTCTGTGGTGCTGGATTGTCTAGAAAAGTTCAGGAGAGCTGGAGGCCCTCTCTTGTTTGTGCCAGAAACAGAACTGGCCTATTGTCCAAGAAACAAAATGAGTTCAACAATGTAAGTGATGAAGTTTTATTTTACCGTATCTTCCTTCTCTTAGGATATGCAGACAAGGTAGAAAATGAGTTTATATATTCTATTCTTTAATAAAAAACTTTACTCATTAAATGTCAGCTCCCTTTACAACACTGACTCAAATTCTAGGACACACAAGAATAACCTGGAGAATTTGTTACATCTGCATATTCTTGTTATCTGGATCACCAAACTTAGAGAGGCTTAAAGCAACACCATTTTATGATGCTGTGGATCAGGAATTCTGGCAGGGCACAGCTGGGTGGTTCTTCTGCTCCAAGTGATTGAGGCCACCCTCATGTGGTTTCCAGCTGGTACCTGGTCTCATGTGGAGAGTCCAAGTCGTGTCTGGAAAATTAGAGGGGAGACTATCAAGTTGGCTTGGCTGGGCTCTTCTCCCTCTCCATGTAGTTTTAGAGTCTCCCCATGTGGTCCAGGGTTCCGAGCCAAGGTTAGGCCTGGATCTGACAAAGTATCACTTCAATCTTCAGAGTAGCCATGGGCCAATTTCAAGGGTGAAAGAAGCAGACCCCACCTCTTGATGGGAGAAATGTCAGACAGCGTGGCCATCTTTCATCCACAGCAATGGAAACGCCAGCTGCACTCCCAGAAACTCTGGCTGATCATGTTAGGTGCTGTGGAGAGTAGAAAAGGAGCATCAAGATAAGTTCCCAGCCCAGAAGGCACTCATACTTGACTGGAGATAGGGGTGGAGGGGTTAAATGTAGGGGTGGAGCCTGAAGGCTGGGATCCCCCCATAGGAGAGAGCAAGGTGGGGAGCAAGGGGCAGTACAATGTGGGCTCGAGTACCCAAGGTGACGGAGGAAAGCACCTCGAGCTGAGCTATAGGAATTTATCAAAAGGTGTTGGAATGAGCAGGTAACCAGAATGAATTATGGGAGAAAGGGAGTAGGACTCTGCAGTTTCCACCCTGAAATGGGGCTGGGGCAGAGCAAGGGAGCAGGAGATATGGGGGCTCCCAAGCAGTTTTCAGTGTGACCTTTCTGCCTGGCTTTTGACAGGATCATTTCCCCTCATCTTTTATTCCTCCCCAATCCTGCTTTCTTTCTGGCCCTATTTGCCTGTTGCTCCTATTCCAGCAGGCCATGCAGCTCAGCTACAGAATGGGCCAGTCTTCCCAGTAACAACGGACATTCAGTGCTGGCTTCTGACTCATCCTGCATATGGCTTCACAACCAAATCATCTCTGGGTTTCACCCCCAAGGCAGGCTCGCTCTCTCTCTCTCTCTCTCTCTCTCTCTCTCTCTCTCTCTCTCTCGTAAGGGGTGACTCTGGGGGGAGACATAGGGTTGGGAGGATCTCGGAGTTGGGTCCAGCTGTGAAGGATGTTACTGAGTCTGAGCACATTGCTAAAAACAATACTGAGAAAGAGCATCTGTAATCTGGAGATGCACGGATGAGACAACAGTGGTCTGAACTCCGTCGTTGCAGACCAAAATAGGGTAGGAGGGAGGGATGTTCGAACAAGAGGGTCCAAGAGGCCCTCGTAAAGAGAGGCATGTGTAGGACGCCCCAGTGGTCAAATCTGGCTGCTCCAAGATGTCTTATTGGTCTGGACTGACACATTCCACCCTCTGGGAAACAATCCCTTCTTGTCCCGACCAGGGGCTGCTTCAATGCTAAGCCCTGAAGTTATGAAGCCCAGGGTCAGAAATGAAAGCAGCATTCAGGGATGGCGTCAGCAACCAGGAGGTGCCTGGGCACACATGGGAAGTCCAGGGCCAAGCTGGGGGCCAGGCATCAACCAGGCGAGGAGCCAGAGGGTGGGCAAGAGGAGGCTGGGCAGCTGTGGCCCCCGCGGCAGGGTGCTTCCGGGGCTGGAGGATGCTCTGCAGACAGGCAGAGGTCAGGGAGACAGAGAGCTCACAGGAGCAGGGCTAGGAAGACAGGCCAGGGCCACACTCTTGGTCTCATCGCCAGCAAGAGCTGGGACGGGAAGCAATTGCAAATCAGCCTAGGGCTTCTGGGTCTGACCTCGTGACAGGATGGGAAGAGAATACCAGGCCTCTGTGCCAGTCAGACAAAGGTGCCCCTCAGGCAGGCAGCGGGTGTCTATCTGAGGAGAAAGGACCCCTCCTCCAGGCAGACTCAGGATTCAACCCCATCCCAGGTTTAGGGAGCGGAGTGCAGCCTGGATTCAGCCTTCCGGGGCCCTCAGCCGAGCCCTTGTGCAAAGTTCGAAGTACATAACCACACGAGGTGACCGGTGTGTAGGCAGCAATGAGGGCTTTTTTGGCCGGAATGTTTCAATACACTGGCCAGATCTTGACATTTTTGACCATAAGTCAGGACAATTAGGGGTTTCTCTGTACCTCCTGAGACACAGGGGTGGCAAATTAGGCATCACCAGAAGGATAGGAAATCTTAATGCCAGGCTAATTGGAAAACCAGGGGGCAAGTGGGTGGGCCCAGGTGCCTACGCATTGTGGTGCCAGCCGGCCTGTCCCGTAAGTGACTGGCTTGTGCAGGGGACAAGCTGAGAAAAGCTACTGAAAGGCACTGCTGCCAAGAATATTGTTCCAGTTGAATGGTAAGCCATGCTCCCTGCCCTGGCAATTGGAGGACAAAAGCTTCTGCTGTGCTCCTTTCAAGATCAGGAAAACACCACCTCACTGCAGAGCCACCTCAGAAGATTTCAGGACACTTGCACCAAAAAGCAACAGTGTTCTGCACGCCTTGCCACGCCCAGGGAGGCCGGAGCCCCTGACCAGTAAGCTTTTGTTTTGCTAGTCAAAGAAAGCCCTTAAAACACTTCCGCTTCCTAACTTGTCACCCACCATTTCCTTATTGGTAGACATCAGCATTCCCAGTGAGTGTGTTGGTTCTGGCAAGAGGCTCTTGACCTGATTTCTCTTTCAGTGCATTTGACCAGTTAGGTCTTACTTAGGCTGATCTTTTGTTCAATATTTTTGGAATACTTGAGATGTGCTCAGGGAATGCAGAGATGATTTTGACATGGTCCTTTCTCTCTAGGAGTTTGCAGCATGCAGGAGAGACAGATTAGTGCAGTGGTTCTCAACCTTCTGGCCCTTTTAAATACAGTTCCTCATGTTGTGACCCCAACCATAAAATTATTTACTTCATAACTGTAATTTTGCTACTGTTATGAATCGTAATGTAAATATCTGATATGCAGGATGGTCTTAGGTGACCCCTGTGAAAGGGTCATTCGACCCCCAAAGGGGTCTCGACCCACAGGTTGAGAACCGCTGGATTAGTGGGTAGCGGCTGCCCAGTCCCTTCTTCCTCCTCCTAGCAGAATCCCAAACCTGTTCCAAATCCTCCCTTCATCTCCCCTACACACTACACACTACACACACACACACACAGAGCGCTTTGAGGGTAGGGTGCAGGTAGTGTGAAAGCTGGTATTATGAGGAAGGGAGAAGGGCCTGCACTGAAAGTCCATGATGTCACTGCAAGGACTAGCCGTCCCACCCTGGAGCCGGGCTGCATGGCCTGCTGGGACAGGAGCAACACAGGCCAAAGAGACCACAAAGAAAGCCAGTGTGTAGCTGCGGTTCAGTCATTCTCACTATTCTAAAATATTGTACTGTATAAATATACCACAATTTATTTATTCATACAGTAAATGGCCATTGGATGGTTTCTGGTCTCTTAACATTGTGTTCCTTTGAGGGAAGTTAATTTTTGTTATTATAAACAATGCTGTTACAAACATTCCTAAACAGGTCTCCCGATAATATAGGCGAATGTTCACATATACAGGATAATACCGAATTGCTTTCCCCATTATGGTACCAATTGACATTCCCACAAGCAGTGTGCAAATGTTGCATCTGCTCCATATCCTCATGCACACTTGGTTTTACACTGTTTAATTTCAAAAAATCTAGTAATTTCCAATGCAAATTTGATTTTGAATTTTTCTGATTACTGATAAGACATATTATCATGAATATTGGTCATTTATGTTTTTGCTTCTGTGAAAGCTTATTCAAGCCGTTTGCCCATTTTCATTTTGAGATATTTGTATTTTTTTAGCTGATTTTTTAGGAATTATTTATATATTCTGAATAATAATCATTTGTCAGTTATATTTGTTCCAAATACCCTCTTCCATTTTGTAATGCATATTTTCACTTATTTTATAGTGTCTCTTAATAAACAAATTTTTCTCATTTTTATGTATGCAGATTTATCAATATTTTCTTCATGGACAGTACTTTTTTGGTCTTTTTAGTAAGTCCTTCTCTGCTTCACAGTCATAAAAATATGACCTTCTATTTTCTGCTAAAAATGCTAAAGTTTTGCCATATACCTTTAAGTTTAATTCACCTGGGATTAATTATGTGTATGGTATGAGATAGGGATTCCATTTCTTTTTCTGTATAGATCACCAGGTGTCCCAGGACAATTTACTAAATTATGCTTCCTTTCTCCAATGACTGCAATGCTAACTCTGTCATATATTAAGTTTCCATATACACAGGTCTGCTGCTGGGTTTTCTATTTTATTCTATTATCAATTTGTTTAGTCCCGAGCCAATACCACCTTGTATTAATTACCATAACTTTATAAATAAGTGTTGATATCTGGAAGAGCTAATTCTCCCACCTTCTTTCTCTTTTAATAGTGCTATTCTTAGCCTGTGTTCATCAATATACATTTAGGATCGATTTATCAATGTCTTTGAAAACCTCTGTTGGGACTATTATTGGAATTGCATTGAGTTTATAGATCAATTTGAGAAAAATTGACATCTTCATAATATTGACTTTTCTTATCTATCAAAATAGTGTGTCCTCATTTATTTAGGTCTCTTTTAATGTTTTCATTCACTCAGAATTCAACTGCTCTGTGCCAGACACTACTTCAAGGGGCAAAAACAGAACATACATTCTGGAATAAGTAAGTAAAATAAGTAAAAAAATAAGTGAAAGAAAGGCCAGGAGGAAGCGAGGAAACTGACCACGTGCCTATCTGAAGGCAGAGGGATATCAAGTTTAGGCAGTTTCATCTAAGAGTCCGGGATGGCTGGAGTACAGACAGCAGAGGCAGGTGTTGTAGGAGATGAGATCGCAAAGGACACAGGACCCACTCACATAGGTCAGAGTGGGGCCCAGCTGGTGAGCAGAGGAGGCATGTGAGCCGACTGTGCCACAGGACTCCCCGGGCTGCTGGGTGGAGAACCTGTGAAGCAGGACGTGGGAAGCGGGCGGCCATATATGAGGTTCCTACAATAGTCAAGATGAGGTGTGATGGTGGCTTGGGCCAGACTAGTGTCGATGGGGTGGTGAGAAGTAGTGCCAAGAGGATTTGCTGACGGACCAGATGTGAGGTGGGAGAGGATCAAGGGCTGACGAGTGCAAAGCTGTATGCCTGAGCAGCGGGAAGGCGGCACTGCCATTCACCCAGGTGGGGAAGAGCAGATTGGAGGGGCATGTCAGGAGCTCAACACCAGACGTGGTAAGTTTGATGTTTCTAGTGGACTGCTCACAGGGTGCTCTGCGGCTGGCTAGACACAGAAGGCTGGGGTTCAGAAGAGGGACCCTGCGCGAAGTCAGACATGTGGAAGTCACCTACACTGCGTCAGTTAGGGGTCCAACAGAAAACAGCGGCATGGCCACGTTAGGGTATTTAAAGAGGGTT